TTTGACTTGCTGGAGCCTAGGGGTAAGGTGTAGGGTTTAGGGTCTAAGGTTTAGGGTTTCAGGTTTCAGGTTTAGGGTTTAAGTTTAGGGTTCAGGGTTCAGGGTAAAAATGACCAAGTCCTCGTTACAAGGAGTTGAGAAGAAGATCCCGTCTTGGGGAGAGTCCCATTTTTCCTTCGGAGTCGCCCGTCTATGCAGAATTAGGCCCCAAACCCATGAGCTGTAGTCTAAACTCCTAAAGGGGGGTTACATATGAGATTATTTAGGTACATAGGGGAATATATAAGAGACTACTTTAGGGGTTGTTAATTCAAGGGGATACTAGGAGTTTAGACTGTAGCTCATACGCATGCCCAGAAGTGTTGATTCAGGAGTCTCCAGGCAGCACCTCACTTTTCTACACAGCAGGCGGAACGGTCTCAAAACCCGACATGTACATTGTTTAGGCTTCAGTTTCAGTTGTGGTAGTATCAATATTAGTGCTAGTACTCGTATCGATAACATTCTTTGTCTTTAGTCTAGCTAGAAGAATTAGGCTTGGTGTCATTGTATCATGCTTATGAGTATTATTACGACATTGATTTCTACTATTCAGGTAGGTAGTCTGACGGGCGTTTGTGGAGTGTTGCCTGGTAAAATTGGGAGGGAGTCCAGGAATGGAAGAGGAAATGTAAACCTTAAAGCCCTGAACCCTAAACCCTGAACTGTCATACCTGTGGGGCTGATATACGGGCTAGTAAAGAGTTCTTTCTTTCCTTTTTCCAAGAAAGCGCTGTGCCGATGGGTTTTCAGGGCTCCACCGGATGTTGTATTTGGAAGATCTTTCCATCCAGAAGCCCGAAACCCCCAACCCTAGGCCCCCAAGCCTAAACACCAAACCCTAAACCCTAAAGCCTAAACCCTAAAGCCTAAACCCTAGTTCGTTCCGTACCTGATCGGATCCTATGCCACCCTGACTCTGATGCCCTTATGTTTGGGGGAGGCGAGAGGCAGTAGGGTGGGGATGGCATAGTACCAGGTTTAGGGTAAGGGTTTAGGGTCCTTTGATATACAGAATCCCTGCATTAGACCATTGTTCTTCATAAAAAAATGTTCTTTATTGGGTTCCAGGGTTTTTTAGAGGAGATAATAGCATGGATGTTCCTTACCCAAGGGGTTTCCGTGGAATCCTGGAAGAAAGCCCACTGCTGGCATGGCTCAAACTGCTGAAGCTTGCGTGTCCTTTTTGTGGAGACCTGCTCATGTCTCAGGATGGAGAAGCAATCTAAAGATCCGGGCTGTCACCCTGCAACCGAAATCCAGAACCTGACGTCTGGTCTTACCACCGCGATTCACTTGAAAGGTTCTTTGTAGGTTGGTTGCAAACCAGATAGGAGCCACGAACCCGAATGCAGACACGTGACACGTACATGCAATGATAATGACACCCCACGGGCGAAACCACTTAGGAGACGTAGGTCAGGGGTCATCCCTTTCTCCT